TTGAACGGAAGAGTTGCATTGGAATTTTCTAGTATTTAGCAAGTAACACCATTTTATGGTTTGTATCAGTTCAATAGGCTATATATTGTGTAGTGGAGCCGAGATGGGGCAGTCTACACATGTAAAGCTGGTAACGATATGGTTATCATTTAATTTCGTTCTGTTCCGAATTCCAGTGTTACCTATTCTCGGACAAAAACAAGCTTTGCTCCCTATTAAAATTAATACCTACTTAATTCTAATTAGTTCGCGATAGTATAGTCCATAATTTTTTTACCATACGTTCTCTCGTAAATACTCGAGTTCCACGTTGTGTTGTGACTTCACGCGCTTTTTTGTTATTTTTGTGTGGGTTTATTACTAATAATTCATTTATTGTCTACAGTCAAGCACCATTGCTCCCGGTTAGTACTCATATACTTGAATCGGTAACCACTCGAAAACTTCGCTCGAAATGTGGGTTACTATTGGGAAAAATAGTTGTATGATGTTACGGAACTAAAAACCCATAAGTATATACGAGGGCTGTTCAATAGAAACACGTTTGATCTATGCAGTCATGACCTGGTAGTCATGGCAACCGAACTTATTTGTTTAGAATGTTTACTTACGTACTAGTTAGTAAAGCGTCTGTCAAAATTATTTGAAGTTTGCTCTCTTCTAAGCGTTGGGACTGCGTTTGAGAATGGCATCCATGATAGAAAATCCATCCAAAAATAACTTGCGTGCTGTTATTCAGTTTTTGCCCGCTGAAGGACAATGAAAATTTATACGAGAATGGTGACTATAGTTATTCTCATATGACAGTGGTTGAATGGTGATTAGTGCCATACATTTCGACAAGGAAGAGAACCCACTAAATTCTTCTGCATGATAATGCCCGACCCCATGTCGCCCAGGCCACCCAGCCCAGAGAACATGTTTAGTCGTATGAAGTGGGAAGTCTTACAACATTTGCCTTACACTCCCGATCTGCCCCCTTTGCTATTATCATGTTTTTGACCCATTAAAGCAATCACTAAAAGGACGGCGGTTCAAATCGGACGCTGAGGTAGAGTTTGCGGCTAGGGAATGGTCCGCAAACAGCCGCAAGAATTTTACCAGCACGTAATTTACGTATTAGCAAAGAGTAATACTCTTTGGTATTAGTACAACAGTGGGATTCATGCCTTAATGTTAATGGAGATTTCTTTTAAAACCGGTGAATAAAAAATTTTGTACAGCCTCCTAAACGTGTTTCTATTGAACAATCCTCGTAAAATACCGTTTTTGAAAGTCCTCCATCATTTTTATATTTACCTACTTGACAAAATTTTAACGAAATCATACTAACCGTTTTGCCAACAAAAAATAGTTTTTTTAACTAAGTACGTATTTTTCTCAGTTTTTTTTTAAATAAAACCGGGCACCACTTTTGTAGGTAATACACAAACAAGTACAAATTGTGCAGGTACAGCGCATTTTTTTTACACACTCCTACGCAAATTCTTCCATAAATAAGAAAGTTGGCACTGCGCATGCGCAAAACCAAATTTTGAATCTGGCGTTAAATTTGGTTTTATTCCAAGTGTTGTGATAACCCACCCTGATGGTTAGGCAACACACATTTACATCCGAAACAAAAATATAATATGCTCTGTATATAACCAACCACGGTTTTGCGCAGATGCCGTATACTAGGGGATTTTCGTAAGGAAGCTAGGAGCCATATATATACTTCTCTTATATATATGCTAGGAGCTAGGGGAGAATGGGGAGGAAGATGGCGACGAGGCCGACGGAAGACACACGCTTTCCCGGGTTTTTTATTATTCTTGATTATTTTTGGTGATGGTGTTTTGAAGGTGTATTTACAGGTAGTAACCATTTTATTCTTTCTTGTACTAGATATTTAATCATTGAATTTCTTGCCTCAATTTGATATTATTTACATTTTGCTGATTTTGCATAAACTATGATATCTGAATCATGGCGTACTCCATGCCTTTGTTTCGTGTACCGTTAGATTAATCCTGTTTGTAATACTGTACAGATGATTATGCCATTATTTTGTTTAATTAAGTATTTATTTCTGTTATTCATGAGGAGTTGATTATCGGTGTGATGTTGCTCTGTTCGATTGACCCGTAACAATTCCGTGAGGGAAGCACCTAATACAGTTTGATTGTTCGCTGTATCTGTTACTTTCTGTTTCGTGGCTCGCTACAGTTCTTGTGCGTTAGCTATACGAAGGGGGGCTCTTTTATTTGATGTTTTGATGTTTGTGTGTGCGAGTGGGTATTTCTGTCTCCGTGGAGTAGGTACCTAATGCAGTTAGATCGTTCGCTGTATCTGTTGCTTACTCGTCTCGCGCAGGCTGCAGTTCTTAGCGTCTCGCATTAGCGAGTGGGGGCCCTCTCATTTACATTTCCTCTATTTAAAATATGTTCTGTTTGAGCGATAATCGATTTTCACCTGAATACTTGCTATTGACCAATGGCATTCTCACATGTACTTTTCGTGTTAATTTAAATTATGTTAACTGAAGGATGGAGTAGAGCCACACCATTTACATGTTTCCTATGTACATGCAATTTGTTTATTTGACGAGTTGTGTTATCTCTATTGATCGTACAGGTATTTTGATGTTTTTTTCACTGAATTGATTTATCATGTTTTCCACTGCATTTATGATGTCTTGTGTATTTTGTTTTTATGAACTTGTTTAATTGCATTTGATTTGATTATCTGATTTTTACCATACCATTTGAGATGTCTTATTTATGTGTATTTTCTCTTGCATTTTATTGCTGTTGGTGATTTATTTTATGTATTTGTATGGCCTATGCCAGGGTTTTAGTCCCGTAGAAGGTTTCCCTGGCATGGTCTTGTGTGTGCGTTAATATATTTATTTGATCTTGTCATTTCTTACGCACAAAAGTTCTGTCTTTTATTTAATTCCCTTCCCGATTATGTCTCACGTCCCAACACATAAAAGAACGGATTACACAACGTAGGAGTTCATTCGTGCCACCCATATCGCGCCGACTGCCATCCAAATTCAAAAGTGCCGCGAGACTACCATCGTTTTGACTTGAAAGGTAGGTGGCTCTGCTTGTAGTTTTTGCCAGAGTTGCCAACCGTAAGTATAGGGTAAGACTACGTTTTCCGTGTCGGCTTGATAGACCCCCCCTAGGAACATTACAGTGTCTATGTATCAAATTTTATTTGCATGCCCAATGGTTATATTTCTTCCAAACGTCCCAATGCTCTTTGTAGGTACTTTCCTTTGACAATTCACTCTTAAGATATAAGGAATTATAACCGATCACGACAAGGGATCGACGAGGAAGACTATGGTTAGTATAAAGTAATTCCTTTCGTTGAGACCTTTCAGTAGAGTACCATGAAGGATAAAAGTAGTTCCACTCCCTCCCCCTCCATCCCGTACTTTGATAAGAGGACAGAAAGAAGAGCAGTAGTTTGTAGAAAACTGTTCCTTTCGTTGAGACCTTTAATTAGAATACAATGAGATAAAATTAATATTACCCCCCCCCCTCAGGCTCCGTCGCTCACTGATCGAAAAAGAGTCGCATGGGAAAGTTATAGTTTGTACAAACCAATTTATTTCGATGAGACCTTTCATTAGAACACCATGCAGGGTAGAACATGTTTACCCCCCCCCCCACACACTTTTTAAAGTTTAACTTGGCACCACTAAAGGCATGCGTATGCAAAATCTGAGACCAATTGGTTGTCGAAGTTATGCACGTTTTACTTTCAAACAAGGATAATATTATATTATATAGTATCCTTGACTTTCAAAAACAGCATCTCGGGAAATAATTCGTGGGGGGGGGGGCCCTTTTAGACAGCGAAATTTGATGGCCGTCTGGCACACCTTCAAGGTATAGGCTACCTACTGCAAAAAATTCCAGGACTCTAGGACCATTCTCCTAGAAGTAGTTGCAAAACGGTAGAAGTGGGTCCGGACAAAACGCAATAACAATACTAGCACATTTTTTTGAATTCTTAAAAAAATGCGCTAAAAATTAAATTGCAATAAGTACAACACAAAATTAACGGAGACAAATGCACTTGACAACGCGTGACACAAAAAAACCTGGTTTTCCTACTTCATATTCCCAAAACGGTTGTAATGACGTTGATTTTCATATCTCGTTGCCGGAACCTACTCAACCGAAGATTTTGAAATAGCCGTCCGTGTTCTGTAGAAATTTAAAATGTTCGCAGACGTGCCTCCTTCAAATATGAAAACAAACTCGGCCTTGAACTTGATAATACACCTCGAACGTGATAACGATTTTCTTTCTAAGGCACCCACATACTCGCCTTCGGACTGGCCAAAACAAATTCCTTCTCTTTACAACCCTAACAAACTTTGTTATGAACTGGCAATAAGAACTTCTTCAAACGACGGCAGACCAGCCCCGAAAATTTTAGGAAAAAAATCTACTTCAGCTGAACAGCAACACAATAAATAAATCAAATTAAAGCTGTCACAAACGCACTAACGAACACACTGATAACGAAAAATTGAGGTACACAAATTTTCTTTATTTTAATCAATTCTCAGAAATACTCTTTTACAATATGAAAGTAAAAAAATCTGAGCTTAACTACAGGCTCAAATCGCAAAATTGTTTTGTATTAAATCGGAAATAATCCCAACGAAATTGATTCGAATTCATGCCAAATGCCTTGATCCAGACAACAATGTCCCATACTGACATTGTTTACACAGCATTATACTTTGCCAACGGGTCCTCGACCTAGTAGTTAGCAACACACTCCGTGAAAACCTAAGGAGTCAAGTGAGATCACGCCTAGTGCTGGTAGATCAGGATCAATGCTGTCTGGGTTGGGCGGGGAGTTCTAATCTAAGTTCTCAATTGACCTCTGAAATTTTTTCGCTTTCATTGGTAAAGATAAGGAGCGGTTTTTGGTCTGCAGGTACCCTTCTGTTGACATCTGGATCAGGTGCGTAAAAAGAAATCATACTCATTTTAACAACCTTTAATGTAGTACAGAAAAATGAAATAGTTTAAAATATAGGTATCAGTAGTAAGAGAAATATTCATGTATATAATATATATAAACCACTTATTTAATGCATATTGTGAAGAAAACCCACAGTTGTGGTTATCATGTGTATTACCTTATTGACTGCAACATAAGTTAAAATTAAATAAAGAAAACAATAACAATACATTAAAAAAAAAGATCGACTAATAATCACAGGAAACCCCTAGAATGCTTATAATACGCATTCCGTACTTCGGCGTCTTCGGGAAACTGTTTTTCTTTTTCAGCATTTGGCACATAATGAGTTTCGAAGAAGTGCGAAAAATATCGTCCTAGGTCTTCATTTAAATGTAGAAAACCGAAGTTGTAACTGGGTGCCATATTTTCTGAAAGCAGAACGTTCAAAATTTGGAAACAAAAACGTGCACTAGCGGAAAACAGTTATCGCATAATTAACCTTGTGCAACGTATCGATGCGATCCGTCTTGTACCAAAACGTTATAAAAGGGCTGCTGGGCTTTATAACGTAGTTTGCTTACACCCATTTGCTCTTGCCAGTCGAGCGTAGCTGAGCATAAGGGGTCCCAATCGTAAATTACACAAATATAATTGAACACTATGTGCCTCATAACCATTCCAACAGCATACTTTAATTCGCTGACTCGCTTTTTAGGAGAGACCTAAAACAGAAATCGGCAATTCCAAATTGAAATATTGTATACAGGGTGTTACATGACCGCATGTAAAAATAAAAATAGAGTGATAGAGGGGATCAAGACAAGCACTTTTTCCAAATAAACAGAGGGTCCAACGTGTTTCGTTTGCAAGCCACCTCCAAAGTGGTGAAATTTGGATTTCTTCTTTAATGTTTTTCTCAGCAACCATAGAGTTACAAAGATGGGTGGTCTTTGAATAGGTTTTCCGGTATGCCCTATCCGATTTTGAAGATTTTTCCTAAAATTCCTACCATGAAAGGGCGCACCCTTACTTGGGGGTGCGAAACAAATTCTGATTTCGACCGAATTTGGTATCTGGGGGGTTTTTGAACATGAAAATGACGAATCTGAAATTAGTTTTTGAAATTTCGAAAAAAAAAGTTCCACTGGAATTCTTGGCAGACAACGAAAATGGAGAGAATTCCACGAAATTTGTTGTGTACATACTTGAGTTAAGGAAGAAAATTGTCAAACAGTTTTTTTAAATAACTTTTCAAACAAAAGTTATAGTTATTTGAAGATTGGGCCTTCAGGTTACAAAGTGTCCCCCGCCTACTAGTGAGTGATCTAATTTCGCATGTTGTTAATTGAAAATGTCGCAAATATAAAAAAAAGCGAACTTTTTTTTCGAATTTTTTAACTAATTCCAGATTCGTCATTTTCATGTTCAAAAACCCCCAGATACCAAATTTCGTCGAAATCAGAATTTTTTTTCGCACCCCCAAGTAAGGGTGCGCCCTTTCGTGGTAGGAATTTTGGAAAACCTATTCAAAGACGTGTCACCTATCTCTGTTAACTGTTATGGTTGCTGAGAAAAAAGAAAGAAAGAAGAAATCCAAATTTCACCACTCCTTTGAGGGTGGCTCCCAAACGAAACAAGTTGGACCCTCGGTTTATTTGGAAAAAGCGCTTGTCTTGATCCCCTCTATCACCCAATTTTTTTTTACATGCAGTCATGTAACACCCTGTATGTACCTGCAAGATGGGCTCTGAATTGTTTTGGACGAGATGTACGTTGTAATCTCGTAGCATTTGCAGAACATGCTCTTCTTGCTCGGTGGCCCCAGCTCCCTAGCATTAAGTATTAGCTTAAGCACAGAAACGGAAGTGGTTACATACTCGTCGTAAAAGAGAAGCTTCGAGCCAATTTGTATCAATATTATGCCACATATACACACGCGCTAAGCTTACAATCGTAGCAAAATCTTGCGGGTTTATCAAATGGCACAATTCCAACGTTGCCCTTAACGTACTAACGTTTCCGTTTCGATTCGTGTGCTGGCGGTATAGTACTTGTAAATTGTTGGCCATTCGCTCTACAACCTAATTTCATTGTTATCTGGGCCAAATTTGCACCGGTAATTACCTCCTTTGCAGTTGCGCAATCAAACTGGCTTCCATCATTTGAAAAACTACTACGTGGACACACTCCCCGATTTATTATGCTGCCATTATTAAACACGTCAATATAATACGTGTTGCCCGGCTTTTCTCGTTTGCCCTCTGTAAATCGCAAAAGGAAATGAGCTGGAAAGTTGATGGGATCGAACTTGAGACCAAGACGGCGACCCACGCTTTCATAGACTATTGCTAGTGTTATCGGAATTCCTTGTTTCCTCGTTAACACCTGCAAGTATTGAGCTAGAATCATTTGCAGTACAATACAGTGCAATTGTTTCGAGAATTGAATGGAAAAGTATATGTATACCTCATTAATAAAGGAATTCTCTGGTACGTAATAGGTACTACTATTCCCCCTAAACTTGTTATTTTTATACAAGACGGTTGTCAAGCATTGAATAATTTCCTGACATTCCCTCACATCCCACTGATTTCCATCCAAATTCTCGGCGCTCCACTTCACTATTGTCTCTGCAGGAACTTTATGTAACGGATGATTAGGTTTACATGAGCGTAGTTCCTCAATGACCTGCAAATAGTTTAATGCAACGGCTCTTTCTGTTATTAACAAGTTATACATTACTTGAACAGCGAGATCATCGAACTTTTTAGAAATGAAATCGCATTTGATATCGTGGACTGGCTGAAACCACTGAGCTATTAAAACTGCTCCTTTCTCTAATATTTGCTGTCGAACAGGTAAGCTCATGAAATTTTCCCACACTTTCGATAGGTGATGCTGTCGAACCAATCGCAACACTTTCAACGCGTAGTATTGCAAAGTTTTGTTGCCGGGGGTACTGAAAAAATGGCGATGTGTAAAAAATGAGAAATTAAATTGTTTATTTATCTGTGACATTTACAGATTGTTTGTATAATACAAATCTTTTTCTATTTGGGTAAATCGTTACGGATCGAACACAGCATTTTTATTAGCAGTCGCCATATTGCTCTGCTTCGCCTCGCACATTAAGACACAAAACGGAAAGCGGCTTTACTCAAATCGCCGTGGATTCTAGAACGCAACCGATCGATGAAGGAATTCAACGTAAAAAACGGCATCGTTCTAACCCTCGCCGTTTCGGAATAACCGCCAAAATATAAATAATAGACAGGCAGGGGGGAAGTTGGTTGTGGAGTTGAAAGGTCTGAATACGAGACCGACGTACAAAAACCGCATAGTTCTAACCCTCGGCGTTTCCGAATAAACGGCAAAATATGAAAAGTGACATTTATTGGGGAAAGCGGAATTGGTTGTGGATTAGAAGGACACGAATTCGAGACCACTGAAACAACCGCATGTTGTAACCTTCGGCGTTTCGAATACCCGCTAAAATATGAAAAAGCGTCATTTATTGGCAGGTGGCTAATGGACGGGGGAGGGGCTAGTTTTTCAAAAATCCCTACTGTAAATGCCACCTAGTCTCACGCTTGTATAGTACCGTTGCATATTAAAACACAAAACAAAGACATAGTTTTGCTTCGGCGGTTACGCTGCCTCGCCTCGCGCAAAAAAGTGACATTAATTGGCAGGTGTGGGGGGAAGGTGATTGTTGTGTCCGAGGTTGTGTCGGAAGGTACAAACACGAGACCACCGTAAAAACCCGCATCGTTCTAGTCCTTGCCAAAATATGAAAAAGTGCCATTTGTCACCGGGGGGGGGGGGGGGACAGAAGACCCCGAAGGTAAATGACATCTAGTCTAACATTTATTTTTATAGGACTGTTGACACATTGCTCGGCTTCGCCTCGCATGTTAAAACACAGTGTTGGATGTGAAGTCGGAGAGTTTGACTACAATACCAACGTAAAAAACCGCATCATTCTAACCCTCGAAGTTTTTGAATAAACGCTAAAATATAAAAAAGTAATTTATTGAGAGATGGGGGCACGAACTTATAAATTAAGATGGACTGTTGATCAAACAGTTGCATAGTGATAGAGGAAGAAATGGCCCTAGCATGGACGCGGCCATATTGTGCACGTTTTAGTTATTTTCTAGGCGAATTATCCTAGTGCTAAAGTTTTGAGACTATTGCGGCCTTGAAAAATGACATGTGTCACAGTAATTTATTTAGAAAACGTGAGGTTGATGCTTGTTTATTAGTTGATTTGAATTTCGGGCCAAGTGAGTGCACATCATGGCTGCCCCCATGCAGGTATCATTTGTCCAGCAGTCCATCTTAATTTATAAGTTCGTGGATGGGGGGCTTATTAGAAATCCCAAGTGGAAATGGCAACTAGTGTCACGCTTGTATAGGACTGTTAACTAACATATTGCTCGCTTCGCCTCGCAGGAATCCCGGCGGCGCATTCGTCAAAACTTTATTTTTTCCCCCCCCCCCCCCCCCGGGTGCCGTAAAGACAGGAGATTATTCTATAACTTTCCATTCGGTCCGATTTTCCTTTGAAAATTTCCCCCAGGAGTGGATGGTACGTCGTCGGATGGGGGAGGTTTTGGGACACATTTGGCCAATTGTACGTTTCTTCCTAGGTCGTGTCGGTTTCGCGCCGCAAGGGCTTAAGGCGGAGAATTGTCGGATAAAATAAATTGTGCTCCCCCCCCCCCCCCCCAATCTCATGACCCATACGTTTGGTTTGGGCCTGATACATATTACACGGGCCAGTTGGCGCTATCACTTATGGATTTGGGGGAGGGGGGGGGGCACTTCTACTCTGTCGAGTCGCGAAAAACCCATATTTGCAATGTTGTTGTTATGGCAGCCCACGGGGGGAACACAGTCTCCGTGACCGCGCCGATCGAAACGTCAACCTCCTATTGGATCCTTGGATTTTTCACATGTCACCACTTGCCCTCGGCAAATTTTTTTCCAAGTAGTATAGCGGCGCGCTCGAATTACAGCCGATCAAAAAACATTCGGGGTACCTTGCAGTAGCCAGAAACAGAATTACTACGATTATTTTGATGCAAAAAAATGTCTGGTCCATGTCGACCTATCTCTGTATAGTGGCGGGTTGCACAATTTCTTACTGTAAGCCGTAGGGACCTAATCTCGGAACTAATCAAGTCTTTCAGCATCGTTACCTTCCATTTCCTCTCTGTAAAAGTATCCCATTTCCCTTCTGGAACTTACCTTTTGAAGTATTCAACTTTTAGACCTCAATGGCGGATACTTAAAGTACTATTTTAGTTTAAATTTTTTAATTTTTAAAGTTTAAATTATTAATTTACCACTCACTTCCCCTAGATTTTTTCTCGAAAATGAAACAAATGGTCGATTATAGGTATAGTGAACCTTATCTGGGGATATACTGTACCTACATGACTTCGACGATGGATCCCCAAAATGAATAAAATTTTTAATAATAATAATAATAATAAATCGAGAACGAACCTCAATACACAGACTTGCCAATTTAGTTCCAGTTGTGAATTAAATTAAAAATTCAAATGTCTAATTAAGCGAATTATCAGTTACATGGTAGGTATGTTCACAATTAAACTTTCATTGCCAACTATGACCCCGATAATCATTTATAATAACCCTGTAACGAGCGATCAAAAATGAGTTGCTGTCAAGTCGCCTTTGGAAGTTCAAGTTAAGTACGATTTCCCATGTAAACAAAAATTCCAAAGGTGACTGGACAGCAACTCATTTTTGATCACATAGTATATGCATGACACTTACTCAACAGGTACAACTTGAAAACTTCTAATCGGCTCATCGCAATGTATAATCGTCATTAAATCGAAGGCTACATAATGATATATTCTAGGCATCTCGTCCATTAACAACGCCCACTCCCCCATATCACAGTTGGACAGTTCACTCTTTTTATAAAATCTCTCAGACATAGTAGACAACATAGCATGAGTACGTTTCGATAATTCGTAAATAAAAATCGTTTCCTTAAACCACTCGCTGAACTCTTTACTAAACAATGGCAAAAACTGTGGCCATCTAAAATTGAACGAGTTTAAACACAATTCATAACGTTAATCACTTACTTTTGCATGAATTTGTGCTTCCATACGAAATTGCTGTTACACACTACGTTTCTATAATTTGAACAGGTCGTACTAAAATTAAGTACATCTTGTATAGTCAATCTACCACTTGCTAATATGAGTTCGATGAGTTCAGTAGGGAGTTGTTCCATCCTTTCTTCCCAGTAAGTACTTCAAATTATACAACCTTTGATTTAACTGGCGATAGTTTACCTCATAACATTGCGTGATTAAAATTTTGTTTACTTATGATACGAAGCCTTTTTCCTAAGTATATTAAAATAATCCACTAGTTGTATTACGTATTTACAAATTGCATTTGTCAAATTCATATTTACCAATCTTCTCATTTCTGTTAAAACCACGGAACAGGTTCTGCACTGAACTACAGAGTTACCACGTTTCACATAGCGTTTTCGATTGGCAAAACTCGTGCTGCACGAGTGCAATTTTTACGTTCTATTGGTAATTTTAGGGCAATTTTCTGTGTTCCATTGGCAAATGTGATGCAACAATTATGCACTCAGTGCAAATTTTGACGCACGAGGTCCGAGAGCTCGTGGAGCTGCTAGTTAGTAGTCAAATTTTCAAAACAAACGTGCGACAATTTTGAATTTGTTTCTTGCGTTGGGAGAGTTTTTTGTCGTCATCTAGCGATAGCGAAGATGATGAACTAGCCATAACTTCTATTTTACAAAAAGTTGCACTTACTCATTAAACTGAACGCCAAAAATTGGAATTTCAAATTTATATTCCCCATCGTTTATCATAAATAATACTGAAAACGTTTGTCATTTTTTAGAATACAGATTTGTCGATTACCTAAATCTAAAATGAGGTTATGGACAAATGACAACAAATATTTACGAATATTTATGTTCCAAGAGCAATTTTCACATGGATTTTTTCAGTTTCTCGTGCAACACTCGTGCAGCACGAGTTTTGCCAATCGAAAACGCTAACAGTTTCACTATTGTTAATTATACAGGGTGAATATAATATAATGTTGGCAGGACGACAACTATACATGTAGTCTACTGTAGCCATTTTAAATACATATTTGTTATTTTTGAATCTTGATAAAGTTGCAATGAGGACGTGCTTAGGACTTACATTAAACGTAAAATCTGAACGATATTCCTATATGTCAAATTTGTCAGTTTAACTCTATTTCTATGCAAGTTGCTTTGCATAGCACTGGGTTATGTGAGAATGAGACATACTCCTACGGTTAGGCAACACACCTTACTTACAGCAGAAACAATGCTACTTTTTTACATTTTTGTTGCGTCCGCATCAGTCTACAAGACCGTAACTGAATTTTTATGCTTGTTTTCAGAAATAACAAATTGAATAAATGATTACTTATGGCCGTATGCATCGAAAAAGTTTAAACGGAGCTTAGTTAAGTGTAGCTTACAATCCATGGTAACGATTATTGGGACAATGGTTGCCATGGATATTAAGCTAGGCTTAAGCTAAGCTCAGTTTAAATTTTTTCGGTGCATACAGCCATTATTCAATGCTGAAGTACAATAATGCTGTGAAATCACCTATAAATATCATGTAAAAGATATCAATGAATGAGTGAGCACCCCTTTGAGTAAAAAGTGCACTATCACCACCCGCATGTCAGTAAGAGAGGTATTGCATTGGGGTAAAAAATAACTCCCCACTTTTTTGACGAAAATACACGTGTTTTAGAGAGTATCAGAGGAATCCGAATCAAACAATATCTTGATGATGTCGATCGGTCTGTCCGTCTGTACTTTTAGACGGCTGGGCCGATCAGAACAAAATTGGGTGCACATATTCTTCGACATAAAAGGGCAAAGTCGCGCACGCGGAGGTGTTCGGGTGCTATCTGTGCCAGAACACATTTTTTTTGTAACGATTCAACTACTAAGGGTCATATCCCCTTTAATTCACATCTAAATACATTAATACTTACATATGCGCGTGCACAGTCTTATAATCAGCGTACATATCTACATACATATTATACCCATACAAATTTTCCCAGCCTATTGTTGAGATTCGAGGACAGTCTCAGCATTAGGTGTCGTAACTAATATGGTTATTTACCACTGTCTGTTTAGAGTGCAAATTTGCAAAAAATATACACAGAGAAAAGTGTTAGTTTACAAACAAGTCTATACACACACCAAACTTGAAACAATTCGATAATTTCCACATATTTTATAACTTATTGTGATCAAGTTAAGACTATGTAATCAACATAAACAAAACATAAACAAAAAATGAAAGCGATTTTAAACAATAAAAGTTAACAGTATCAAACAAATAATTTTCCATGGAGGTTACATCCAGTCAAATTAAAAAAATAATGAAACTAACACAAATAAAAAATAGGTTGCATACAAAACACAAATACATTATAAAGAAACGCAAAGATAACCTGTTGTTATCTCTTCTCTAACAAAGACAAGTCACAAAATATTTACACCAATAGGGTGCAGAGTTCTCGTTTGGTGACGCTAAAGTCGCGCAAGCTACGCGCACATATACCGTCAGTTTGGTTCACTTATTGCGGATCCTTTTGTATATATTTTCGTTTCAAATTCTAACCTCATTATTTTTTTGTTCTACACAAAAATATATACGTAAGTTTGCGTCGATAGTTCAATAAAGATACCAAACCAGACGAAATGCATTGAAGAGATTTATATAATGGCATCATTTTTAACACCCAATAGACATGGGTACAGCGTTAGATTTTCACCTTTCCGACCGGAACATCTTGCAGTTGCGACAAGTCAATATTTCGGTTTAACAGGTGGAGGTACTTTATTTCTTTTGGAGTTGACACCAGACAAAAAGCTGATACAATTGCAAAGTTTCAACTGGTCAGATGGACTGTTTGATTGCGTATGGTCAGAGGCAGATCCGGCGTTAATAGTCACAGCTTCGGGCGATGGAAGCTTACAACTGTGGAATTTGTCAATCTCAACGATACCGCCACAAATATTTCATGAGCATATTAAGGAAGTTTACTCCGTAGATTGGAACAGAACTCGTCAAGAGCAATTGATTTTAAGTGCATCGTGGGATGCAACAATCAAAGTATGGGACCCTACGAGAAAAGCTTCGTTGAACACATACATGGGACACTCACAATTAGTTTACAATGCGATGTGGTCCCCCCACATTCCTAACTGTTTTGCGTCGGTTTCCGGTGATGGAACTTTACGAATTTGGAATTCATTAAATGCGGAAGGTGCGACCGCGCTTTGCAAAGCGCACGATGCCGAAGTGCTCTCTTGTGATTGGTGTAAATATGACCAAAATATTTTAGCGACTGCCGGTTCGGATGGTTTTATTAAAGGTTGGGATTTAAGAAATTTTTCCCAACCGATTTTTCATTTAAAGGGATGCGAGTATGCTGTACGAAGAGTGCAATTCTCGCCTCACTCTTTAAGTATGATGGCATCTGTTAGTTACGATTTTACTACTAGAATATGGGACTTCAAGCACAGTTCCGAGGCTTTAGAAACTATACAACACCATTCCGAATTTGTTTATGGGTTAGATTGGAATGCACACCGAAAAGGCGAGCTCGCTGATTGTGGATGGGACAGTTTAGTGCATGTTTTTTCACCTTCATCGGTCAGGAGTCAACTTAGTAGGCTTTAAAGTGGATTTTTTAAGACTGACGTTTGTTATTTAATAAAGGACCTTTTTGTTATCGTTTCCAGTTAAACACACATTGCTCTGTGATGTTATATTAATTTTTATACCTTATATCTGTGGTGTCAGTTTCAATTGTTTTCAACTCTTATAAACATTTACGATTAGGTCACAGTTTATTGTTATATGCTTAATTTAACAAATTCCATTATATTCTTTTTTAGGAAACTGACTGTGATTTGGTATCCTATTTTGTATATTTGACAAAAACGAACTTTAATAAACGTTTTTAGAAAAATTCCCTACAATACCAATTTTTAGCGCATTTAAAAAAAAATATGCTATTCATTATGGCTGGCTGGCTGGCTGGCCGGATGTCCGGGTGAGATCTCAGCAACTACAATAGACCTCAAATGTTCATTAAAAGCTTTCTGCTGTAGTGTAGATGTGCAGGCTCTAGTCTATTTTGAGTTATATTACTTGTGAGATCAATAATTTCGATATGGTTTTCGGAGGTGCTATAATTTTACCGTTAGATAGCGCTACCAGTATAAAAACTTTAAAGTCACTAAATATATTTAGTGACTTTAAAAAACTTAATTATTTACTTTGTGATTTGTTTTACAAAATGAAGACGTACCCTCAATTAAAATAAAATAAAATAAATTATTTAACGCAGCCAAAATTACTCGTGAGATCGATAATTTTAAACTTCGGTAATAAAATACTGACCTGTATTATCAAAAATGCGCTTTAATCATGCATATGCTGATTTACAACTTGTTTTTATTAATTTTACAAAATCCGTGTTAACTGTTTTCATCTGCAGTAAATACTGAGATTTTTTTGCGCTATGGCAATTGGCCGCAAGACTTTAGGACGCGGAGATTGGGACGCGAACATCATGCAGGTTACCTTAAAAAGCAGACATTAGGTTGCAGGTACATAGGACAATAAAAGGTATAATGAAGCGGTCTCGGGCGAAAGACCGGTCCCTCCCGAGTCCGGAGCGTCGCGCGCGCCTTTCTCTCTCTTTGCGACACTATATAGCGGTTTCATTTGGGCGCAAAAAGAAATGCCGGTATTGCTCCGGTCTAGCTCTGATGCAGGAGCGAGGCGGTTCAGATTTCAGGGATATATTCGCGTGGTTCTGATTGACTAGGGTAGCGCCACTACGTTTGGAAATGCAAGAAGATACCTACAGGAAACGCAGAACCTGAAAGATAAAAGGACACACCACAACACATACCTGTAAATTAAAAAAAAAAAGAACTATTGGGGGTGAACTGGTCGTTTATTAAATTAGTTGTTGATATGCATAGAATTTAAAGATCTGTATATCTATAATATCAAGGGATCGCTGTATCTTGAACGGTTAATAAAAATTTTAGATTAAAGTTCCAAACGTACAAATAATGAAAATAAAATAAACTCTTGCAGTAGCAAGTGCCGCTAGATCCTCACGCTTGGGGTCTAGAGCGTTTAAAATGAAAATCAAAAATAATTAGTGCGGGGGTAAAACAAAGGCCTTTCTTTCACGGGCTACTAAAAACGTACCTCACCTCGGGCATTCTACCTTTTTAAGAACCAAAAAAAAAACAACAGGCTATCTTGATAACTGCCTAACAATCATAAACGTACAAAAATAATAATTCGGTGCAGTAGGCACAACCAAAAAAAGTAGTTCTAATCGTCCG